AGGACTTGGGCCATCTTCTGCTTACCCAGGACATAGCAGTGAGCTGGATTGGAAGTGGAGCAGCCAGAACTAGAACCAGCACCCATATGGGATGCTGGTGATTCAGGCCAGTGTTTTAATGTGCTGCACCACAGCACTGGACCCTAGATGCCTGTTTTGATTGTGGACTTAGCATGCCATTAATAAATAATGTGTTTGGATATATTCATTATTATAGTTGCCCTGTTACAAATTACTCGTAATCATGGCAAGGTAAGAATTCATTACAAAACTAATTTATTTTAGTAAGAATCAGTGTGTGACTCCACAATCATACACTACTTATGTTTTATATAAATAAAATAAAGAAAGAAAGAAATAATGATTTTGAGCAATTTTACACATCTCTGCACTTACTCCACAATGAATTGTTATCTTTAGGCTGTTGGGTACAGACAAATGGGTGGTTTGCAAGTCTTAGAATGGCCCTGAAGGCATGTATTGATAGGACATTAGTCAATCATATTTCAAAGGGAATAATTTTGTGTAGAGGCCTCCAGCACTAGCATTGCTCATGAAATTAGATACGCAGTTGGAAATATAGATTACCAGGAGTTGGTATTTTCTCAAAATCACCTGAGTGACTCTCAGCTATTAGCTTTGAATTGATTTATGTTGTATCCTTTCTTTTGAAATAAGCAAGCAATTCCTACTGAACCAGCTTCAGGCTATTGAATAACAAAAAAATGGCAAGTCTTGCAAACTGATGGACTTAAATTAGGCCTTTGGGTTTTTAAAAAAGTTTTATTTGAAAGACTGAGAGTTATAGAGAGAGGAGTTAGAGTGAGAGAATGTGAGCAAGAGACAGAGAGAGTCTGAGAGCAAGAAGTCTTCCATTCTGCTGGTTCATTCCCCAAATGACCACAACTCCAAGAGCCAAGCTGATCTGAAGCCAGGAGCCAGGAACCTCTTCTGGGTCTCCTACATGGATGTAGGGGCCCAAGGACATGAGCCATCTTCTACTGCTTTCCCAGGCCATAGCAGGGAGATGGATGGAAGAAGAGCAGCTGGGACTTGAAGATTATAAATTAAACTAAGATTATAAATCAGTGTTAACATAACCTCTCATGTATATCACTGTATGGTGGCTAGTTTTATTATTATTTTTTATTTTCTTCTATTCTTTTTCTTTTTGCAGAATTTGGAATCATGTTTCTAAAAATTTTATTTAAGTTATACAAGTTTCATGTATTTCATATATACAGATTTAGAACACAGTGATACTTCCTACCCTATCCTCCCTCCCACCCATGCTCCAACTATTCTTCCTCTTCCCTATCTCATTCTCACTCTTAATTTTTATAAAGATCTACTTTCAGTTTAGTTAATGATCATCAAGTTAACCCTACACTAAATAAAGGAGTTCAACAAATAGTATGAAGAAAAAAACCCACTGTTGCTCAACAGATGAGACAAAGGCTGTAAACAATCATCAGATACCTCAAAATGTCCATTTCACTACAACACATTACAATTCAGGTACTCTATTAGTTACCTTGGATCAGGGAACACATATGGTATCTGTCTTCTTGACACTGGCTTATTTCAGTAAGTATAATGGTTTCCACTTGCATTCATTTTGTTGCAAAAGAGAGGATTTCATTTTTTACAGCTGAGTAGTACTCCATAGTGTATATGCCATAATTCCTTTATCCAGCCAACAGTTGATGGACATCTGAGTTGATTCCATATCTTAGCTACTGTGAATTGTGCTGCAGTGGACATGGGTATACAGATAACACCTTCATATGTTGATTTCTTTTGGTTTGGCTAAATCTCCAGGAGTGGGATGGCTGGGTCATGTGGTAGGTGTATATTCAGACTTCAGAGGTATCTCCAGACTGTCTTCCACAGTAGCTACACCAGTTTACATTCCCAGCAACAGTGAATTAGGATACCTTTATCCACACATCCTCACCAGCATCTGTTACTTGTTGAATTCTGTGTGAGTGCCATTCTGACTGGAGTGAGTTGAAACCTTGTGGTTTTGATTTACATCTCCCTGATGGCTTGTGATCCTGAGTATTTTTTTCAAATGCCTGTTGGCCATTTTATTATTATTATTATTATTATTATTTAAAAGGCAGAGTAACAGAGAAAGAAGGAGCGACAGAGAAAGAGGAAGTGACAGAGAAAGAGATGTAGAGGGAAAAAGAGATCTAGGAATAAATTTACCTAGGAATAAACATAGGATGTCAAAGACTTGTGCAATGAGAATTATAAAACACTACAGAAAAAAAAAGAAGACACATAAAATGAAAAAAAAAAAAAACTTCTATGCTCATGGATTGGAAGAATCAGTATCACCAAAATGTCCATACTTCCAAGAGCAATTCACAGATTCAGTTCAATACCAATTAAAATACCAAAATCATTGTTCTCAGATCTAGAAAAAGTGATGCTGAAATTCATTTGGAAACACAGGTGACCTTGATTAGCTAACACAATCGTATACCACAGACACAAAGCCTGAGGCATTACCATACCAGATTTCAAGACATATTAACAGCAGAAGTCACTGTACACTTACTTCCCATGCAGGACCTTGGTCCTAAATAAGTCATACTATTAAATTCAACTGTAAAACTTGTTCTCAGTTTTTTATATATATTGTGTTCTTGTGTACAAATAGTTGAAATATTTACTTAGTATAGAGTTGGTCTTCTGTATATAAAGTTAATTAAAAATGAATCTTAATGGAGAATGGGTCTGGGAATGAGAAGGAGTAATAAGTGGGGAGGGAAGTGGGGTGGGAGGGTGGATATGGCAGGAAGAATCACTGTATTCCTAAAGACGTACTCATGAAATTTATACACATTAAGTAAATGGTTTCTTAAAAATGAAACCTTCTGAAAAGCATAAAAAATAGATGTCCGCAAACATTACTGGATAAAAAAGAGATACTTTTACATAAGAATTGTTTAATTTGCTATGAAAAAGGAATGAAATTTTGACATTTGCAACAAAATGGATGGAATGGACTTCATCAGCTAAGTGAATTAACCCAGACTCACAAAGACAAATATCAAATGCTTTTTATTATTTGTGAAAGTTGATATACAGAGAGTAAAATACGTGTGCAAATGGGGGCTGGAATTTTGGTGCACCAGGTTAAACCATTGCCTATGACACCAGCATCCCATATCACAGCCCCAGTTCAAGTTCCAGCTGCTCCACTTATGATCCAGCTCCCTGTTAATGTGCATGACAGAGCAGCCCAAATACTTGGTCCCCTTGCCACCCATCTAGGAGACCTGGATGGAATTCTAGGTTCCTGGCTGTAGCCTGGCCCAGCCCTTGCTGTTGTGGCCATTTGGGGAGTGAACCAGTAGATGGAAGATGTTTGTCTCTATGTCTTTCTTTCTCTGCTCTGTCAGTCTGCCTTTCAAATAAATAATTAAAAAAAAAATTGAAAGTGGCCAGCCTTGTGACAGCACGTAAAGCCACTGCCTGCAATGTCCATCCCATATGGTTGCCAGTTTCAGTCCTGGCTGCTCCACTTCTTTTTTTCTAAAGATTTATTTATTTATTTGAAAGTATGAGTTGCATAGAGAGATAAGGAGAGGGAGAGAGAAAGAGAGAAAAAGACAGAGAGAGAGAGGTTTTCCATCTGCTGGCTCACTCCCTCATTGGCCATAATGGCTGTAGCTTGGCTCGTGCAAAGCCAGGAACCAGGAGCTTCTTACAGCTCTTCAACAGTATTTTTGTTTTCTGATTTCTTCTTCTTGCTTTTGGTCTGACTATAAAATTTTCAGGGATTTGTGTTCTAGCTTAGATATTCTTTCTTCTGCCTCACCTACTCTGTTGTTAAGACTTTTCACTAAAATTTTTATGTGAGCTATTGAATTCTTCATTTCTTGTATTTCATTTTGATTTCTCTTTAAAACCTCAATTTCAAATGAAAAATTTTCAATCATATGTATTTTTCTTTAGTTAATGAATTTGCTTCTGATTGCTTCTATGTAATCCAATGATTAATTTTTTGAATTCTGTTTCTGGCATTTCCTTAATCTCTTCATCATCATTTTCTTTTCTTTTCTTTTCTTTTATTTTTTTTGACAGGCAGAGTAGACAGTGAGAGAGAGAGAGATAGAGACAGAGAGAAAGGTCTTCCTTTGCCGCTGGTTCACCCTCCAATGGCTGCCGTGGCCAGCGCGCTGCAGCTGGCGCACCGCACTGATCTGATGGCAGGAGCCAGGTGCTTCTCCTGGTCTCCCATGGGGTGCAGGGCCCAAGCACCTGGGCCATCCTCCACTGCACTCCCTGGCCACAGCAGAGAGCTGGCCTGGAAGAGGGGCAATGGGGACAGAATCCGGCACCCCGACTGGGACTAGAACCTGGTGTGCCAGCGCCACAAGGCGGAGGATTAGCCTAGTGAGCCGCGGCGCTGGCCTTCATCATCATTTTCTAATATTGACATATTGTGATGTTCCTTTGGGGGTCTCATAGTGTCATCCTTATTTTTGATTTTTTGATTTTTGCCTTTGTTCATGGTATTTGTAGACTTTTCTCTCTGGTTATATCTGTGGTTTGTAGGCTTCAGCCCCACTTGCCACTCAATTGTACTGGCTTGTAAAAGGCTCCCTTATGCAGCTTTCCCCCTCTGCTCTCATTACCAGACAACCAGTGGTGTGCAACTGACACTAAAGCTTGTGCATCTGCTCCTTGCCTGTGTCCAACACTGGGTGTAGGCTCTCCCCCTGCTGGCCACAGGTCTCCACTGTAGCAGTGATGGCAGAGGGAATAGAGATGCACATTCCCCCCCCCCCTTTTTTTCCTACCCATGTGAGATCTGCATGGAATTCGAGTAGCAGTTCATTAAGCTTTCCCTCCCAATGTTCTACCATTCTGAGGTCCCTTATGAGACTTCTATGAGTCCCTGGGGGCTAGTGATGTGTGTAACATGCCTGGTGAACTACAACTGAGAGATGAACTTGGTCTTTATTCTTTGTCTCCTGCAGCATCTGGGCTGAGGTACATCTTGTGATTCAAGAGCCAAGGGAGCACACCGAAGAAAGAAAGCCTGTTTTGGTACAAGAATTAGACCAAGAAATAACAGGTAACACTATATAAAATGTCACCAAAAGAGGGTGAGAATAATATAACCTGAATCAGAAACTTAAAGAAGCTCTGACTTTTGTTTGATCTACTACAGCTCCTCAAGGGGCAACCTGAGCTGAGCAGTAAGGATTGGGAGAGGAACTTACTCCACAGTGACTTGTGTACCTGGCCAGGGAGCTTCCCTGTTGGACCCAGATTAGGTTTATAGGGAGTAGATGCACCACTTCCTGTAGAATAAGAATATGACCATGAGGCTCTGGTCTAATAGAAGTAGTAGGACCTGAACACACTTCAACAAGTTGGAGAAGAAGCTCTGCCTGCAGGACCAATTCAAGGTAATGAATTTGTTTGTGGGTGCAATAGGAAGAGACAGAGTGGAGTTCATAATAGCCTAGAGATACCGGAGGAAATGATCTATTGCTCTGGGACAAGCTGATGAGCTGGCTAAGAGAAAAACCTTAGAAAAAAACAATGAGAGAGTACCATTTGCCTCTGTAGACACTGACCATTTAGCCCACTTTCTACAGTCATCCTTTACAGATGATCCTCTTTCTGACTTGAGCCAGCAATGACTTCTGTAAGGGTGATAACACGTCAGCAGAGCAGTAATACACCAGAAATGAAAATGTGTTTATTCAAGAAAAGGTCACAAATAATGACTGAGCTTCTACTTCTCAAATTTTAGTTTCTGATCCAACCAAAGAAGTGCCTATTCTAAACTGTTACTGCTATAATTATGTGCATAAAACATTTATTAATTTATTTGAAAGTCAGAGTTACAAAACAAGAGGGAGAGACAGAGAGATTTTTTTAACTGCTGGCTCATTCCCCAGATGACTGCAACAGGCAAGGCTGGGCGAGGCAAAAGCCAGAAGCCAGGAGCTTCATCCAGGCCTTTCAAATGAGTTACAGGCATCCACGTACTTGGGTCATCCTTTCCTGCTTTCCTGGGCCATTAAAAATGTGTTGGATTGACAGTAGGGTAGCCAGTATATGAAACAATGTTCATATGGATGCAAACATCACGGGTGGCAGTCTGGACCTGCTATACCAAAAGAGTAGCCACAGCATTAAGTGAATATAGCACTGTAATCCATAGATGCTAATAGATTTCACAGGTAGCATTACACCCTCTGAACATCCAACAGGATGCAGGTGGAAACAGACAGGAGACCTCATGTATAGAATTCTGTGTAAGTACATATACATGCTACAACCTGGATAACCCTTGAAAATGTTACACAAAGTGAAAGAAGCCAGGTGCAAAGTGCCAAATGTATTATTCTATGCACCAGAAATATTCCAAATGGGATCTCCAGAGAGAATGTGGGGGAGTGGATGCCAGGAATTGTAAGATAGAAATGGAGAGGCTGGCGCCATGGCTCACTAGGGTAATCCTCCACCTTGCGGCGCTGGCACTCCAGGTTCTAGTCCTGGTCGGGGTGCCAGATTCTGTCCTGGTTGCCCCTCTTCCAGGCCAGCTCTCTGCTGTGGCCAGGGAGTGCAGTGGAGGATGGCCCAAGTACTTGGGCCCTGCACCCCATGGGAGACCAGGATAAGCACCCAGCTCCTGCCATCAGATCAGCGCAGTGTGCTGGCCGCAGCACGCTGGCTGCAGCAGCCATTGGAGGGTGAACCAATGGCAAAGGAAGACCTTTCTCTCTGTCTCTCTCTCTCACTGTCCACTCTGCCTGTCAAAAAAAAAAAAGATATAAATGGAGAGTTTATCAAAATATTCTAGAATTGGGGATGATTGAAAACTCTTTGCAATATAACAAATGTATTCCTAACAGTGGTAGATTTTATGGTAGCTGAATTTTACTTCAATAATAATAGCAATAATGTGTTTTTTCACATTATCATGCCTCAGTTTCTTATTTCTATAATAGCAACATATTTCTACTGATTTTAAAGGCAGAGAAAGGAAGAGGGGGAACCAGTGAGAGGGAGATTTCCTATCCTTTGTGTTACTATACTAATGCCTGCAACAGCTTGGCCTGGGCCAGCCTTAAGAATGAAGAATAGACCTTAATTCAGGACCCCCACATTGATGGCAGTATTTTCCAATCTTCCTCCCAGGAATCGGAAAGAGGAAACTGAACTGCGATGTTTGCCCAGCCAGTGATATACAGCATGTCTTTACAAGCAGTATCTTAATCCTAGTGCCAAATATCACCCTCACTCTTCTCTTGTTCCCTGCATCTTTATCCAACAGTGCATCTCCAATTAATAGTGAGTGGCCAGAATGTGGAGCTGATGATCCATTGTGACAAAACCTCAGAAGAAAATTTTGAATTTGTGAATGGCTTTTAGCAGAAATGAGGCAGAGGTAAGTGATGTTCCCATGTGGAAAGACTTCTGTCAACTTAATTGGAAATGTTTTAAGGGATTTGCAGGTAGAGGGATCTGTACCTGAGATCTGGCTCCAGTTCTCACATCAGGGGGACCTGGGCAATACTCACTCCACCTTGTTTTGTACATCAGCAGCAAGTGGAAATGCAACGCTTTCCTCACAAGTTGAATGCATTTGAAATAATAATCATCCCACCATGTGTGAATTCAGTGACATCAGAGGGTTCCAACCTGATAACTCCATTGCTCTAATAAGTATGAGGAAGTATTACTTGTATACTTATTTAGTCTCTATAGAAATCAGAACAATTCTCGGTTCAGGGAAGAAAGCCTAAGCCACTGATTCCATCTTTCTAAGAGTAAAATATTCTCTATCTGCATATATTGTGGGTCTAAAAGCCAAAAGTCTACAGAGGGAATGCTAAGTATTAAAGAGTGGATTCCAGGAAAGCCATTCAAATGAAGACTCAAGTCTTGTACTTCTCTTGATATCCTAAAGGATAGTCTATGTCGCCGGAGTAGTTTCACGTCATACGGAAGAATGCTGCAGACGCCTGTGCACTTTGCTCCTGATGATCCAGGAGTGTAGTCCTCTGTACAGGCAAATGATGCTGCAATGAATGCTTCTCTGGTTCACTGATCGCTCTGCATGAACCAGTGAAACACAAACATTTAAACCTGGCTAAAAAGGTACTGCCTGTCCCTCTCCTGTAGGTGTGTTTGCTTCTGCTTACACTGCTATCTCAAGGATTGTAGTGAGAATGAAATGCCCTCATGTGTAGAGTACTTAGCCAGAGGCCTGGCATATGCTACTCAAGTAGTTGTTACTGTTATAATGATCTTTTACTAGCACTGCCCAAGCTCATCCTTGTGTGAGATTGAGATATGTGACTTTGTGCTCCCCATGATTGTCATTTTGACAAGGAAGGTTTTGATATATATTACTTTCTGCCACTGAATGTCAAGTCCACTGACACAAGAAAATAAATTTTAAAAGAAACCTTTCATTCATCTCACAAAATGATACCATTATACAGTGTCTTTGGGAGACAGTAGTAGGGTGGGTAGAGAGGCTTTAGAAGGTATTCAATCCATTCCACTTCTTCCTCTACTTGGAGAGGAATATTCAGCATCCCAATGTCAGTCCCCTTGCCACCCCAAGTTAGATAAGTCCAGCAGCTGAACTGAAGAAACCAGAAAACCAGGAGAGTCCCCTAAGTCTGAGGTTCATGAAAGCTGGTTGGGAATGGAAGCCAAGAAAGTGAGAAGGTGGGTGCTCCCACCACAGTATCAGCTTGTACTGCACATGCACATGGTGGATCACCAGGCACCACAAAAGCATGCTCAGTGTTAACAGTGATTTTTAGTGGAATTCAGCCATCATTCAATAGGGTTCAACCATATAAGAAAAAAAAATCTATCAGTTAACATTGCATAAGAACTACCACTGGGCCCTGTTCAACTCTATATGTGTTGGAACCAAAGGAAAACATCTGAAAAGTAGCATCAGCTTCATATCTATTCTAGACATAGATGGTGACTATGTGTATGCAGGAGAATATAGATAAACTATTGGAGTGCCTTGGTATCTTTAAAATGATCTCTTTTGGGTTTAGAACAAAACATGCAAGTGACAAGTAGGAAATGCTGTATTTAATGACATTGAAAACAAAACAATGCCCCCAAAGTCTGAGGAAGGACTTAGGATGTAGGGAGGTCTAACTGATTTTAGTAGTGTGAAATGGCAACATGCTGCCTGTGTGAGGGAAAAGAAGCCATTACAACATTGAGTAGAGCCAAAAATATTTTGAGACAGAACAGGACACAAATTATTATTTTTTTCATTCTGTACGTGCTTTACTCTGCTTTCTGACCCTACACTATTTAATGGCTATAGAAAGGCTTGCAGAAACCCAGAGAAGAACATCTTGGTAGTTTATCATGTGACATGTCTCCCTGGAGGAAAAGCCTGGAGACCCACTTTAACAGAAAGGCAGGGTGAGTGACTTCCTGAGAACGCTTTGAGAAAATAACACTTGTTTGGAAATGAATTCTTCTTTAGTGTTTTCCACCACAGGGAGGGAGGGAGAGTGGGAAATGTGCTTAGATTTTCCTAGTGGAAAATGCAGGTGTTTAAAATCAGCACTGGGCGCGCTGCTCCTGAGAATGAGGAATGAGTTGGTGGTGCCTTTAAGAAGGGACCAGGTATCCTTGGCGACAGGAAGTCAACAACTCCTAACATTCCAGTACCGGCCATCTTCTCATTCTGCTATTGCTACTTCCAACAGTTACTTGGCAAGCTGGCAAGCAGGGAGTTCATTCTCTCACTTGTGACAGTGACTGAGTAATAAGAAGTCACTTAAAAGCTGAGCGTTGATCACTTAATAGTGACAGGATTTTGATTGAAGACTTTGAAGTTCTGTGGGGTGTTTCCCAACAGTAAGTTCAGAAATATGGCTGTTGTCATCCCCCAGCCCTCATTAGAGCTATTGAATGTCATTTGTTGTAACTCATTCTGTTCTTGGGTATCTTCCACCTAGTCTCTGGAGCCCCCTGGTCTGCCAGAACCATCAGAATGGCAGTACCACTGAGCCCTTCATCCGATCCAGCTAATAAAAATAATATGGTTGTGTGTAACCAGGCATCGCATTGCCGACTAGCAGAGAACCAGCGGGAAATACAAGATCTGAAAGAGATAGTTCATCATTTCAGCTTCATCCTCCACCAAGAGGAAAACAGTGAGTTCCATAGGTCCTCTCACTAAAGTGGTAAATGATGATTTGGTCCCTCTGAGAAAATAAAGGCTTTCTAGGTTTGGTTCTTCCCTTTATCCTAAGAAAATCCATTGTTACAATACTCTGAGAACTGTATAAGCTATTTTCATGTCAATTTGGAATAACCAAGGCACTAGTTCAACAACTTTTCCATGTTTCCTTTAAGTGTGGGGTGAGATGTCAGTTAACTGGCAACCTCTTTGTCCTGTACCAGCTGATGTGGGTTTCATGTATGGGGCTAATGAACTTCTACTCAATTCAAGCTTCTTTTGAGTTCCAGTTGGCAAATCCTTGTGCTGGTCACACAGAGAAATGTGAAGAGTCCATAAGATCTCTGTTATAGGTGCTAATGGAGTCTGTGAGGACATTGTGGTACTTGTAAATGACATTGTCTAGACCAGGGACTGTCCTGGTCAGGGGGAAACACACTCATGGAACAAAAGCTCTTCTCGAAGAGGAAGAAGGCTCCTGAGTCTTTGTGGTAGCACAGAGCAGAATGTAGAGCAGGGACTCTGAGACCCTCCCTGGGCTTTTCTCCAACTTGCCAATCTCTGCATGCCTTAGACCCCTCCTCAGTTCCCACAAGTGCTATCATAATTCCTACCTCTGTAAATTGTTGCCATGAAATATGGGATATATTTTTTGTACAATATGTAAGGTGATTCCTGGCCTGGAGTAGATTTATTCATTCCATTTTTTTTTCTAATTTAACAGGAGCTGTATTAGTAGGTGTGTATATTTCTTTCAGGGCCTGTGGGTGTTTAGCACTGTTTTTACACAATTCTACTTAGCTGTGATTTTGTCTTTGGAAACTCCCCAAACATGAAAGTTGAACTTCTCAGCATAGAAGAACCACTATCCCCAGTGCTAGTGTACTTTACCAACCATACTGGAGGTCACTGCTTCATGCTACAAGTTAGTGCTTGACTTAAAAACCTGCAAGGTGTGCTAACTACACTGCCATGATTCAGTCACAGCTTAGTGGAAGGGAATTCTGATTCTGTCAAATAGCAGCTGAACTGCCTTGTCAGGTCACCATTCACCTTGGAACACTGTTCACTCTAAATGGGGGATTATCAGATATCCTGTTGTTGGGAGGTGGAGAGACAAAGATGAAGAAATGCTTACCTGGAGCGTGGTACTAGAGTGGCTGCTTCCTAGAGACAGTGACCTCAGCTGCCTGTCCAGCTGTCCACTGAGGCAAGTATGTCTGTTTCAGATTATGGTGAGGGCCAAGAGATGATTCAATCCAGGCTAAGGGAGAAGCCAGCACTTGGAACTCCACAGCTTGAGAAGCTGGCACCTGCTGAGTTCAAGTAAGTGGGGCTTCGGGCATTACAAGCAGGAGGAAGATATATGTGGTATCAGTGAAGTGGGCCAGCTCAGCTGGGGAAACAGCCTGGATCAGGAGAAGGGCAGGAATTTACATGTTGGGGACCTATCTCATAAATATTTATAAAACATGTGCACAACAATGAAAATACTACTTGATGGGCTGTGGTGCTTATCAAAGCCTCCTTTCCTCTTTCAAAAAACAAGGAATTTCTTGAGTTCAAATTCTCATAACTAACCAAACAGAGGATAGTGAGCAACGCATGGTGTGGTATGCACATGATGTGTTGTCATCACCGTGTCATTCTCTCTAGATCACCATCACCTCCTGATTGAGGATATTGTCTAAGATTGACCCTGCCAGCCTTTCATTTCTTTCTGAAGAACACCAGTAATAAGGGACATGCATCTGAGTGCGCCTTGGTGTTCAGTCACTGCAGTGGGCTATGTGTTTTACTTGGAAATGCCTGTGGTTGAAGTTAGCAGCTAAAGGAGCTGCTGTGTGTAGGGGATGAAGGAAGAGTCCTGGCAATGTGGACTGAACACAGGGTCACCCTCTAACACAGGGGAAGCTCTCATTTTGTCTTCTTCACCACAAGCATTTACCCAAACCTGTCAGTGCTGCTGTTTGCAGGGCTCTGTGAGAGAATTCTCCATGAAATCTGTTGACATACAGAGATGGTATCATGCACATATTTCTATCCTTACATTTTCTCTCCTGTCCTACCTTAGGAAATGCCATGTAAATAAGGCACGCACCCGCAAGCGGCGCCAGCTGCGTAAGAAGTCAAGAAAACAGACACAGATTTGTCATCTCAGCCTACATCCCAGAGCCCTCCTCACCCAGCATGACCCTGACAGCCACTACACATGGGGCTTGCTGGAGCCACTGGTTGTTCACATCAGGCTGGAAAAGCATCTTGTCTACAAATGTAGCCTGGGTAAGGGGACCTCAGGCTCTGATTTCAGAAAGTCTCAAATTTACAGGAGTCTCCACTTCCCTGCAGGAGACATTTTCCTGCTACCTTGTTTTCATTGAGATATCTGTGGCCATGACATGATCAGGAATTCTGGATGAGAACTAGAGTGAGAAATGCAGAGGCTTGACGTTCCTAGCATTTCAGAAGTCTCCATTTTCCCCAGTGCAGGTGGCCTTTGATCAAGATGCAGTATCCATCCAGTTTGAAAGGACAGGAAGGAGGCTGGGACAGGTGGTGGCTTGTAAGAGGGAGATTGAGCCCTGTGCTGAGAGTGAAAGGGCCCATCTGTGTCCTCAGCACTGTTTTCACTGATTGTAGAAAGATCATTGATTTCTTTTCTGTATTTCTGTTTCCTCTTCTACAGAGTGGGCCCATGAAACGTTTGTCTGGCAGTTGTGGCATTGCCATTAGGAACAATTACACATATATTTTAAATAAGACACAGCCTTTGCCATGTGGCATCGTTACATATACTTGAGGCAGTAGAACCTGTCTCTTGATGATCTATGCTTGCACACTGCCAGAGGCATCTTGTCTACATCTCTGTTGCAGACATAACCCACATTTCTCCAAACATAGCCCATCCTCTGTATCTTTTAAGTTCTCTTCTTCCAGCTCATTATCCATCTAAACCTAGGACATAAAATTGAAGCCACTCCCATACTTCCAAGATTTCCAGAGGCAACAATGACTACTGTAGCTCGTAGTGGTCATGAATGACAAACTGTTTCTGTGAAGCATCGAAGACTAATCTTGAGAAGAAATTGAATATATCTCATCCTCAGTCTCACCTCAGTGTATAGATTCCTCTAAATCATCTACATCCTGGCATTCTAACAGGAGAAAAGTGAATAACTTTTAATTCTTTTAGAATGCAGATAGGGCAGTTTCCCAGAATTAGAGGGGAAAAAATGAGGTTCATTGTTTTCAAGACAAAGAGGTCTGGATATTGATTTTCATGCCAAGAAAGTTTTGCTCAAAGGGTCAGCACATGAAATATTTCTCTCACAGTTTATGGGTATTACTGTGTCATTGTCAGGAACTGGATTGCACATGTACTAGGACCTCCCTAATTTGACCATCCCTGTTGGAATTTATTTGCAGCAAAAGAAATGACGCAAATGAAGGGTGGTTGCTGGGACTTAATCTGCCCCAGGTAAGACTAAGGAATCATGGATATTTCATTGATATTGACATCTGGGGACTCCTATTTTAGGGAGAAACTGAATATGCTGAATGGAAGGATTTCACACACCCTAGGTGATCACACTGTTTCTCTATGAAGAGTATTATTGTAATCATTTTGGCACCCATAGAGATTGCCATTTCTTCTTCAAACACCCATGTGGTCTCCATTAGCTTGCTTCAGATCAACTGGACTTTACAGGGTCTCCTGCAGTTATTACTTCTGTTGTGCATAGATTAAAAGACAGGGTTCCTTATCTTCTTTTTTTTTTTCTCATCTCTGTGTTTATGGAGATGGCTGATAGAAAGAAGTACAGGGGAAAATACCATACCAAAATGTTGAGAAAGCCAGCAGGGTGGCCACAGAACTAGAAGCCCACTGTGCTGTAGCAGGTACATTACCACACCTGAGGTTAGTAATATTCAACTGATTTTGTCGAATGTGACAAACACTATTTGTTCTGCTTGTATCTGGGTGTCATGAGGATTCCATTACTGAGCATCACAGCTCTTTGTTCTTCAGCCAGAATCCTGGCCATCTTCCAACACCATCTCTCCATCCTTTTTCCGGTGCCTCCACCTGTAGCTCATGCTGTGCCTCCACGTCCTGCAGTTCCTCACTTTGCTCAGCAAGGGGAGGATCCTGCTCAGACAGCTGTTAGCTGAAAGGCCCATTTTCATTGGTGGCAGAATCAACCTGCCTGTGATGCAGGCCTGATAGGGCCCTCTGGTACCTTAACTACCATGATAACTTCTCCACCCTTCCTAATCCAGCAGGATCAGTGGGTGCTTTCCACCTCAAGTAGAGCCTGAGTTGGTACCAGGGCTGATCATGGGTGAATATTGTTGGTGCATCGTCATGAAAGCCACGCTGGTTATGCAGCAGCGTTATCCTGGTGGTGGCTGGACGATAGTGCTGGAAGAGTACTCGTGGTGCACAAGGTTTGGAGGTGAGTACACCAACTGGGGGGGGGTGCTTCCAGTGCCACTTAGGGTAAGGAGTAAACCCCAGCATACTTGCCCTGCTCTTACAAAGACCCTGGCATGGTTGGGAAATGGATGGGCTGCTTTAGTTGGACTAGAAAGGAAAGCCTAAGAACCCCCAGAGGGAGTTTGAAGCAAAGATGTCATGTGGGTCTACACCTGTGTGTTCACCCAGTAGCTCTGCTTCCCCAAAGGGTGGTTTTCCTCAGCACGCTGCTGTGCTGCAGCTCCTCTAGCAGGGGTGACAACATGGCAGCAGTCTGTGGATCCCAGCGTGGTGTGCACCAGCCCTGTGCACATGGCATGGTGTGTTCCAAGCCTACACTTGTACTAGTGGATCAAGTGGCCAGTGGCAGTCTTCCTTGTGAGATCCCTGTCCCAGTCGCATGCTATGACACACTGCCTGTAGGGGCCACTATCATCAAAGCTACCCTCTCCACTTGTGATCTCATGAAAGACCCAAAACCTCTAGACTGAGACACAGCATGTCACTCTCCCACATTGAGTTGATGTCACTCTTTCCTTATCTAGAGCCCTTGGCCGTACCACTGATTGCCATGTGGAGGGAACCAGTCCGATCATTATGACTCTCACAGGTCCCTAACATTTGGGGTGTGTTCATGACCCTAAAAACCCCTATGGGAATAGGTTCCAGGGCTTTCCGCATCCAACCTATGGCACACTGCAACATGAGAACCACAAAGGCCTGGCTGTTGGTTGTGGGGAGGCTCTTTAGGGCAGCTGTTGAGGAAGAAACCAGCTGGGCCATTTGCAGTGATCCCACAGGGCCAAACAGCAGCTGATCCCTTTTGGAGTTTGGGGATGCCTGATATGCAGGAGGCAGGCAGACTGGAAGAGAGAAGTGGTCCCCTGTTAATGGGAAAAGGCCACCAAGACAGCTGTCAGCAGGCATCTCCCTGGGCCTCTGGGGCTGTTCTGACCTATAATTGGGCTCTTTGTCTCACAGCAACTTCCCTATCTAAATTTTATTGTAGTCTATGGGAATTCCCTTGAGGACAGAGTGCCACATGAAGCCAAACCTGCGTAAGTCTACAGATGGATGGAGGGTTCTTTGGTATGGACATTTGGAGGTAGAAGGCATGGGGAGGAGAGAATGGGCCCCACGGAGTAATTACCCCCTCAGAGCTCATTCTGAGGACTCTGGTAGCACCACTTTTCTCCATGTGCTGAGGTGGATCCCCACCTCCCACCTCCATTGGACATCTGCATGTGGTGGCCTGGGATCCAGTCATGTTTCCAGGCCATTGCTGCTTTCACAGCTTGTGTGGCCTCCATAAAAATTGGGGTGCCCTTCCCTAGGCCTCTCTGCTTCTCCTTCCTCAGTGTCCCCATGGGACTTTGATAAGGACAGAAGTGGCCAATGTCTTGGGTCATGCCCCAGTGCTGAAGGAAATGGGGCCAGGAGTCCTGCATTGAATCTGCATTCTATTGGGTCTGTCCATTCCCTGTGAAGGCTCACTTTGTCTCAGAATGGGAAGTTCACAGTCCAATGGCTCTTAGATGATGGCATGTTTTCAATGAATGACAGACCCTTTCTTCCTGCTAGGAAAGCCAGGTGGGACTGGGGTGGACAGGAATGCCTGTGTGTTAAACCCTCATCCTTTCCATCTCCCCTCTACATTTGCACTTCAGATTGTGTGAAAACCGATCTCTAGCTGAAGGGCATCGCATCATGGCATGCACACACCTTGCAGATGTACCTTACATGTGGCATGCCTCCTGGGGGGACAAGCTGGAAATACTGTTCCAGGCCTGGGCCAGGGTCCAGCAGCCCTTAGCCCAGCAGTCCATCCACTGGATAGAGGCCATTGAGGGTGAGTGTCCCACTGGGAATCTTGCTGCAGCCCTTCTGGAGTTCCTGCATTCACCATAACATCCTTGGCCTCTGGTGAAAGGTGTGATGTGGTGGGAAATCCTAAGGGCACATGTGGATGGATGGAGGCAGGTGTGAGGATGGAGTTTGCAACATAACGATAGCATGGGTCTACACCTTTGTCTTAGCCTCGTATCCCTGGGTCACAAACACCTTTGGCCTCAAAGCCCCTGTTGGGTCTCCTTGTCTGAGGCACCTGCAATGGCCATGGAGCCTTTAAAATGCATGTGGCATGGTTTCTGCCAGGCCTCCACTTGGGATAATGGAATTGTTTTTGTGTGCAGTGGCAGTCTTTCTTGTGAGATCTCTGCCCTAGCCACATGCCATGACACTGCATGGCTGCCAGGGTAGCTGCCATCATGACCAGCTTTCAGCACATGATCTTACCCAGATCTCCCTGAACCAGTCCATACTCTGTCTTCCATGTTGACTTCACACCTCACTGATGTAGAACCCTTGGCCATGTCTTGAAGTTCCATCTTGAAGCATCTGGTGTAATTTTCATGCCTATCAGGCTACTCTGCAAACCCTGCAAACCCTGCAAACCCTGCATAACTGCAAGGACTCCCATGAATGGGAGACTCATGGGTTACACTTGTCCATCCCAAATACCCTAAGGTATTTGACCCTTAGAGCCCATAGCTCCCATTAGTTTATGTACAGGGGGGAGGCAGTTGGTATGAGCCTCCTATGTTGTATTTAATCTCTTAGAGCACACCTCACACATAGCCAGGGACCCTTAGTGAGGAAAGTGGCTGACCACTTGTGGAACATCAGGATGCCTATTGTGTGGATAACATGCTACCCAGACAGGGAGGGAGGTCTCCATTTATTGACAGAGGACTTGCCACTGTAGGCATGACCTCCTGGGAATGAGACAGTTGCTAACAGAGGCAGTGCCACAGGCAGACAGCATAGAAGTCCTCAGATGCTAATGGGACATTGCACAGTACTTGTACTTTACTTTGCCATAGCATTTGCATGTCATCTCATTTACCATTTCCTGCTCATTTTTCTCCTTTGCAGGGTATGATACCTCCTCCCAAAAGGATGAAGTGGTATCTGCAGACAGAGCTGAGGTTATCCCCAGGTAAATCTACAGATGGGCTGAGGGTATTTTTGTATGGACATGTGGAGGTGGCAGACACGGAGAGGAGAGAATTGCCCTGAGAGCCATTTATACCACTCAAAGGTCCTCCCATGAAGACTCCGGGAGCACCTCTTGGAAAATCCATGTGCTGAGTCAGGCCCCAAACACTGTGTCCTTAACCTCGCTGGACAACTGCATAAGTTCCCCTGGGAATGAACTGCTTCTGTGTGGCATTCATAAAGTGAGGAGCCACTCCCTCAGCCCCTCTACTTGTCCCTCATCCACATCCCTGCAATACAATGACAAAGACAGGGAATATCCAATGCCCTGACACACTCCACAGTGCTCACAGAAATGGGCACACAGTCCCAAGGTGGTCTGGGGTATTAAAGTGCTTTAGCTTCATTGGGACATTGAGCGCCAAGGGGATTCTATTCCCTGAAACTAGACAACTGGCTTCTGGCAAGCTTGTTCTTTCCTGTCCCAAGGGTGCTGGAAGAGGGACACCAGAGCCCTCTGCTCCTGATGTGCCTTCTGGCCTTTAGCTGACAGCATCCTCTGCTCCTGTGTTTCTGTCTAACCCTCTCTATGTCCTGCTTGGTCTGCCCTATCTTTGTGAAAACTCACATTGTCTGAACAAGGGGAAGATCTAGACTGGATGGTTTATAGAGGATGGTCCTATCCCTTTGATTAACAGACCCTTTCAGACTGCTAGGAAGGTTTGGTGGAACTGGGTTGGAACTGAATGACCTTGTGCTGAGCCCTATTTTTCCACCTCTTCCATCCTCCCCTCTGCATTCACACCTCAGGGTGTGTGGAGATCCACCCCCACTGGAAGGGCCAGATACCATCGTGCCTATCCTCAAGGAAGATGGATCCTACGTGCTCTGTGGATTTTGGGCTGATGAGCCTGAAGCACCAGTCCAGGCCTGGTCTGAGACTGTGAAATGTACAATCCAGCAGCCCGTCTGCTGTGCTGAGGCCAATGTGGGTGAGTCCTCTGATTTGACTCTTGCTGCAGACTTGCCAAATCTCCTGAGTGCACCCCAATGCACTGCTTGATCTAACCTGCCAAGGACAGGTGGTGATGTGAGAGGCTGTCCCCTGGCTACATCTGAGTGGACTATGGGAGAACCCTGGATGGAGTTCAAAGCACAGATGTAGTGTCATCAGGTGTTTCTTAACCTCAGAGCCCAGATTATGCTCTGTATTCCTGCATGGACCCATCCATGTCTATGTAGCAGAGGCCAGAGTGATGGCATGGCCCCAGCTATGCAGCCTGTGCTCACTCATGCTTGTGAATTGGATGAGTAGGATGCCTTTGGGCAGTGGCAGGCTTACCTGTGAGACCCCTGCCCCAACCATGTGACATAACACTGCATGCCTGATGGGAACTGTAATCATGGCTACTTTCTTGGCCTGAGATCCTAACCTGATGCCCCTGAACTAGGCCATGCTGTCTCTCTCATTCCTGTTCTATTGTCATCACTCCTCATCTGGAACCCTGGGCCATGTGCAGAGGGTTCCACCCTGGGGTAGCCTCTGCTGACCCTTTGCCTATCAGGATCCACTAAGTGCCACAGTGCTACATGGAATCAAAATGTTCCTGTGTGTGTGAAGATCTATGGGCTTCACATGTTTATGTTGTGGCAGGGTGCTCATATGAGCCTGGAACTAGCCCCATGTTGTGCAGTCTCTTGGAGCACACAGACCGAGGACCCAGATGGCTGATGGCTGCTTCTCCCTTGTGGAAGATCAGGATACCTAAAGTGTGGGATACCACACTCCCCAGATGGGGAGAGAGTTCTCCTTGGGTTGGCAGTAGACTCGCCACTGCAGGCCATGTCCACATGGGTGTGAGGCTCTTATTAGCATAGGCAGTGAAACAACCAGACAGCATGGGTGTCCTTGGAAGCTCCGTGACAGTGGGCAGCCCCTGAGCTTTATGATGCCATCTCATTTACATGTCATTGCACTTACCACATCCAGCCCCAATGGCCCTTTTTGCAGTGGAAGACCTTTCCTACAAAAAGGAGGAAGGGGAGGTGGCAACTGCAGTCCAGGCCGAGACTATCCCCAGGTAAGTCTACAGATGGGTTGAGGGTGTTTTATCATGGCCATCTGGATAAGGCAACACTGGAAGGAGGGAACGTGCCCTGTGAGCCATTTATACCATGGAAAGCTCCTCCCACGAGACTCTGGGAGCAACTCTTGCAAGCTCCCTGTGCTGTAGTGGGCCTCAAACACTGTTCAGGTCAGCCACCTCTCTCCAACTTCCATTGGACAGCTGCATAAATTTCTCACAGAACCAGTCACCAGTCCGGTTTATTCCTTATGTACTGTTCCGTGCGGCCTCCATTAAAAGTGTCCCTCATCAACATTGATGCAGTATGTTGATAAAGACAGGGAATGTCCAATGCACTGACACACTCCACAGGGCTGACAGAAGTGAGACTCAATCCCGAGGTGGTTGAGGATACTAAAGTAGTTTAACTGGGTGGCAGAATTCCATAAAGCTGATTCTTTTCCCTGAAGCTAGAGAACTGGCTTCTGGCCAGCTTGTCCTTTTCTGTCCCCAGGGTCTGAGAATGGGTGCTAGAGACCTCTGCTCCTTGGCATGGCTTCCGGCCTTCCTTCTGTCTTCCTGTGCAGTCTTCCCTAAGTTCTACTGAGTCTTCCCTATCCATGTGAAAACTCACTTTATCTGAACCTGGGGATGATCCAGATCAGATAGCTCTTAGAGGATAATCCTGTCCCTGTTGGGTAACAACCTTTCCAACTCCTTGCAAGATTTAGTGGTACTGGGTTGGAACTGAATGACTTTATGTTAAGCCCTCATCTTCTCCACCCTCCTCTCCTCTCTGCACTCACACCTCAGGGTGTGTGGAGATCCACCCCCACTGGAAAGGCCAGATGTCATCCTGCCTATCCTGAAGGATGACGGGTCCTACATGCTCTGTGGATGTTGGGCTGATGGGTCTGGAACACCAGCGCAGGTTTCTGCTGAGCCTTGGCACCTTACAACCCAGCAGCCCATCTGCTGTGCTGAGGCCATTGTGGGTAAGTCCTTTGATTTGAATCTTGCTGTTACCCTACCAAAGCTCCTGAGTGCACCCCAATAACCCTGGTCTGCTTGCTGTAACTCCCCCAGGGAAGGTGGTGATGTGGCTGTCCCATGGCTACATCTGAATGGACAGAGGCAGAACCCTGGGTGAAGGGGAACAAAATAATTGTAGGCAGGTGTCTCTTAACCTTGGAGTCCCAGGTTATGTTCTCCTTTCTGGCACTGAAACAAGCCAAGATGCTGCAACAGAGTCAAGTGTGATGACATAGCCCCAGCTTGAAGTCATACACATGACAGGTTTATTCTAGGCCTACCCATGGAAGAGCTGGATGCCTTTGGCCAGTGCCAGGATCTCCTGTGAGACATCTGTCCCAGCTATGTGTCATGACACTGCATGCCTGCCAGGCCAGTTATAGTCCTGGCTATGTTCTTGGCCTGAGACCTTAACCAGATGCCCGTGACCTGGGCCATTCCTTCCCTTGTTCCCTTTGTGGTGACTGCAGTCCTCATCTGGAATCCTGGGCATGTTCTGAGGGTTCCATCCTGGGGTAGCTGGTGCTGGCCTCGTGCCTCTCAGGATCCACCAAGAAGCACAGTGTCTGCATGGCACCAGAAGGTTCCTGTGTGTGTGAAGCTCGATGGGATTCATATGATCATATGGCAGCAGAGTGTATGAGCTAGGGAGCCCCACTCTAGTGGCTGTTGAATGGGACAAGTCTTCCATCATGTGGTTGGTCTCTTAAAACATTCAGACAAAAAGGCCATTGACATGGTTGAAAGTGACTGACTATGTATGTAAGGTCAGGATGATATGTGTGGGGTGTCACACTCCCCAGACAGGGAGAGAATTCTTTTTGGTAAATGCCATCTCATTTGCTTTCCTTTGCAGTGGAAGATACCTCAAGCCAAAAGGAGGAAGGAGAGGTGGCATCTCCAGACCTGGCCGAGGCAAACCCCAGGTGAATCTACAGATGGGTTGAGGGTGTTGTAGTATGGACATGTGGAGATTGCAGACACAGGGAGGAGAGACTGTGCCCCATGAGTCATTTATACCATCAAAGCTCCTCCCATGAAATCTCTGGGAACACCTCTTGCAAGCTCCATGTGCTGAGGTGGGCCCCAAACACTGTCCAGCTCACCACCCCCTTAACCTCAATTAGACACCTCTCTAAGTTTCCCTAGGAGCCATTTAACTGTCCAGGTCATTCCTCATGCCCCTGCTCCTGTGTGTCCTCAATAAAATGTCAGGCACCCCTCCTTCGGCCCTCTGCTTGTCCCTCATCAGCATCCCTGCAGTATAGTAATTAAGATAGAGAATGTCCAGTGCACGGATACACTCCACAGTGCTGCAGGAAATGGGACTCAATACTAAGGTGGTCTGGAGTGCCAAAGTGCTTTAGGTGGTTGGGAGCATTCCACACAAAGGGGCTTCTTTTCCCTGAAACTAGACAACTGGCTTTTGGTCAGTGTGTTCTCCTATTCTGTCCCCAGGGAGCTGTAAGGGGGGGCACCAGAGCCCTCTGACCTCAGTGTGACTTCTGGCCTTCTGCTCCCAGCCTCCTCTCCTTTTATCTCCTGTCCTTTCCTCTCTGCATTCTACTGGGTCAGCCCTATCCAGGGGAAGGCACTTTTAGAACATGAGGAATATCAAGATCACAAGGCTCTTAGAGGATGGCCCCACCCCTATTGGATGAAAAATGCTTTCAGAATGCTAGGAATGATAGGTGGGTCTGGGTTGGAACTGAGTGACTTTGTGTTAAGCCCTCAACTTTTCCACCCCTCTCGTCTTCCCCTCTGCATTCACACCTCAGGGTGTGTGGAGATCCACCCCCACTGGAAGGGCCAGATGTCATCGTGCCTATCCTCAAGGATGATGGGTCCTACATGCTCTGTGGATTTTGGGCAGATGATGATGCTGAAGCTCCAATCTGGGCCTGTGCTGGGGCCTGGCACCCTACAACCCAGCAGCCCATCTGCTGTGCTGAGGCCATTGTGGGTGAGTCCTTTGATGGGAATCTTGCTGAGACCTGCCAAACCTCCTAAGACCACCCCAATAACTCTGACCTACTTGCTGTAACCCCCCAGGAAAGGAGGTGATGGGTAGGCAATCACATGGCTACATCTATATGGACAAATGCAGAACACTGGGTGGGGCTACAGCACACATGTCATGTAGGCAGGTGTTTCTTAACCTCAGAGTCCCTGGGAGGGAGTTCTCCTTTGGTTGGTAAAGACTTGCCATTGGAAGCATGTGTTCCTGGACATGACACTCTTTTTAGCACAGGTAATGCCACAACTAGATGGCATGGATGTCTCTAAGTTGTGTGATGGTGGGCAGTACCTGAGCTTTACTGTGCCATCGCATTTGCATATCATCCTGGTTACCACATCTGGCCCCATTGTACTCTCTGCAGTGGAAAACCCCTACCACCAAAAGGAGGAAGTGGAGTTGGCATCTACAGACCAGGCCAAGGCTATCCCCAGGTAAACGTTCAGATGGGTTCAGGGTGTTTCAGCATGGACATCTGGAGATTGCACACAGGAAGGAGAGAATGTGCCCCAAGGGCCATTTATACCATTCAAAACTCCTCCCACAGAGACTCTGAGAGCAGCTCTCCAAGCCTCCATGTGCTGTTGAGGTCCCCAAAGACTGTCCAGTCAACTCCCCCCAACATCCACTGAACACCTGCATAGTTACCTTGGGAACGAGTCAGCAGTCCAGGTCATTTCTAATGCCGCTGCTTCTGTGTGGCCTCCATTAAAGTGAGAGGCCTCTCCCTCGGCCCCTCTTCTTGTCCCTCATCAGCATCCCTGTGTTACATTCATAAAGACAGAGATTCCAATGCCCGGATGCATGCTACAGTGCTGATGTAATTAGGACACATCCTGAGGTAGTCCGGGGTGCTCAGGTGCTTTAGCTGAGTGGCAACATTCCACGACAAGGGGATTCTGTTCCCTGAAACTAGACAACTGGCTTCTGGCCAGCTTGTCCTTCTCTGTCCCCAGGGGGTTTTGAGAGTGGGCACCAGAGCCCTCTGCTCCTCAGTGTGTCTTCTGGCCTTTGGCTGCCAGCCTCCTCTCCTTCTGTCTTCCTGTCCCATACTCTCTGCCTTCTGCTGGGTCTTCCCTATCCAATGAAGGCTCATTTGGATCAGGGGAGAATCTAGATCACATGGCTGTTAGTGGTCGGTCCTGTCCCTATTGGGTGACAGATCTCTCAGATTGCTAGGATGGTTTGGTGGAAATGGGTTGGAACTGAATGACCTTGTGTTAACCCTTCATGTTTTCTACCTCTTCCATCCTCCCCTCTGCATTCACACCTCAGGGTGGGTGAAGATCCACCCCCACTGGAAGGGCCAGATGCCATCGTGCCTGTCCTCAAGGATGACGGGTCCTACGTGCTCTGTGCATATTGGGCAGATGAACCTGAAGCACCAGCCCAGGCCTGGGCTAGGGCCTGGCACTTTACAACCCAGCAGCCCCTCTGCTGTGCTGAGGCCATTGTGGGTGAGTCCTTTGATTTGATCTTGCTTCAGACCTGCCACACCTGATTGTACCTCAGTGACACTGGCCTGCTTGTTCTAACCCCCAGAGAAAATGTCCTGATTTGGTAAGATGTCCCTTAGCTCAATCTAGATGTTCTGAAGTAGAATCTTGGTGGAATTTGCAGCAAAGATGTTTTACAGGCAGGTATTTCTTAACCTCAGAGCCCCAGGTTATGCTCCATTTTCTGGCACCAAAGCCAGTCATGTCAGCACCCGAGGCAGGTGTGATGGCATGGATCCAGTGATATATACTATGCTCATGCATGGGGCGGGCTTTTTTCCTAGGCCTTACTTGGTAGAGTGGGATGTCTTTGGCTAGTTGTAGGCTTCCCTGTTGAGACCTCTGTCCCAACCATGGCTAAGATACTGCATGCCTGCCAGGACAGCTGTAGTCTTGGCTTACCTTCTCAGCCTGAGTTCTTAACCACACACCCCTAAACAGGACCACACTGTCTCTCTTATTTCCTTTGTGTGACATCACCCCTTATCTGAAGCCCAGGACCATGTACTAAGGGTTCTATCTGAAATTACCCGTGCTGGCCTCGAGCCTCTCAGGATTCACTAAGGGGCACGGTGTCTGCATGGCACCAAAAGACTTCAGTGGTGTGAAGCTCCTTGGGTTTCCCATGTTCATATTGCAGCAGAGTGTGTGAGCCTGGGAGCCTCCCACATTGGCTGTTGCATGGGACAGTCCTCCCATTATGTGTTTGGTCTCTTAAAACATATCTGACCCACAGGCCAAGGACACAAAATGTTGAAAATGGCTGACCAATTGGGAAGGTTAAGGTTCCTGTTGTGTGTTGTGAAACACTCCCCCAAAAGGAGGTAGAGCAGCATTGTTAGTCAGAGGACTTGAGCATTACTGGCATGTCCTCTTGTTAATTAGGCTGTCACTGTCCAAGGCTGTGCCACAACCAGACAGTACAGATTTACTCCGAATATGGTGGGACAGTTGTGATACCTGTGCCTTACTAGCCCGTTGCATTTGCATGTCATCTCATTTACCATGCCCTGCCCCATTTGCACTCCTTTGCAGTGGAAGACTCCTCAAACAAAAAGGAGAAAGTCAAGGGGGCATCCTCAGATCAGGCTGAGGCTATGTCCAGGTAAGTTGACAGCTGGCTCCAGGGTTTTTAGTATGGTATGGCTGTCTGGTGATGGCAGAAATGGGGTGAGAGAAAGTGCCCTGTGAGATTTTTAAAACATTCATTGCTCCTCCCCAGGAAGACCTGGCACACCTCTTGAAATCCCCATGTGCTGAGTTACACTGTGCTGCTGCCCAGGTCACTGCCCAGTTATCTTCCCCTGGACACCTGCATAAGTTTCCCTGGAAACCAGTCACCTATCTAGATCATTCCTAATACCACTGCTTCTGTGTGCTTTTCCTAAAAAGTGAAGGGCCACTCCCTCAGCCCCACTGCTTGTCCCTCATCAGCATCCCTTGTCCTTTTCTGTCTCCAGGGGTTGACAAGAGGTGCCCCAGGGCCCTCTGCTCTTCAGCATGCCTTCTGACAATTGCCTACAGCCTCCTCTCCTTCTATCTTCCTGTCCCATCCTCCCCGTGTTCTGTTGGGTCTGCACTGTCCATGTGACTGGTTCACTTTGACTGCACCAAGGGAGGCTGTAGATCAGATGGCTCTTAAGGGATGATCTTGTCTCTGTTGGGTGACAGACACTTTTGGACAGGAGGAATTGGGGGGACTGGATTGCAACTGAATGACTTTGTGTTAAACATTCCTCTTTTCCTCCCCTCTTGTCTTGTCCTCTGCATTCACACCTCAGGGTGGGTGAAGATCCACCCCCACTGGAAAGGCCAGATGTCATCGTGCCTATCCTCAAGGGTGACGGATCCTACCTGCTCTGTGGATTTTGGGCTGATGATCCTGAAGCACCAGTCCAGGCCTGTGCTGAGCTCTGGCACCTTGCAACCCAGAAGCCCATTTGCTGTGCTGAAGCCATTGCGGGTGAGTCCTTTGATGTGACTCTAGCTGCAGACCTGATAAACCTCCTGAGTGCACCTGGTGACCCTGTCCTGCTTTCTTGAACACTGCTGGGAAAGATTGTGATGGGGTAGGCTGAACCATGGGGCAGATCTAGATTGACAGAGACAGAACCTGGGGTTGAGTTTGCTGCACTAATTTAGGCATGTGTTATTTAACCTGAGATCCCCATGTTATGCCCCATGCTCAGCAATGAATCTGACCATGTCACTGTGCCCAAAGCAGGTGTGATGGCATGGCCCGGGCTTTGGAGCCTGTGCTCATTCATGTGACAGGGTTTTCTTCCAGGCCTCCACTTGAAGAGTGGGATGCCTTTTATCAGTGCAGGCTTCCTTGTGAAACCTCTGCCCCATTTGGTTACCAAGACACTGCATGCCTGCCAGGACAGCTATTTTGGCTACTTTCTCAGCCTGAGATCTCCAGATCCTGCTGAGTAGGGTCACACTCTTTCACATTCCCACTGTGGTGATGTCATTCCAAATCAGGAATCCTCAGCCATGTATTGAGGGTTCCATCCTGAAGTAGTCAGTGCTGGCCTCGTGTCTATCTGGATGCTCTAAGGGGCACAGTGTCTGCCTGGCACCGAAAGACTTCAGTGCTGTGAGCCCCTGTTGGATTCACATGTTCACATTGCAGCAGAGTGTGTGTGCCTGGGAATCTCCCACTTTGGATGTTAGCATGGGATGGTCCTCCCATTGTGTGTATGGTCTCTTAGAACATATCTGACTCACAGGCCAAGGACACATATGGTTGAAAATAGCTGACCACTTGTGGAAGGTCAGGATGCCTGTTTTGTGTTATGAAAAACTTCCCAGTAGGGAGGGAGGGCTACATTATTAGACAGAGGACTTGCCATTCCAGGCTTGTCCTCCTGTGAGTGAGGCTGTGGCTAACACAGGCAGTTCCACAACTTGACAGCATAGGTGTCTTCAGAAGCTTGTGACAGTGGGTGGTGCCTTACTTTATGCCATCTCATGTACATGTCATCCCATTGACCACATCCTGTCCCATTTGCACTCTCTGCAGATGGAAGAGTCCTCCTGCAAAAAGGAGGAAGGGGACTCAGCATCTGCAGAGCAGGCCGAGGCTATACCCAGGTAAGTCGGCAGATGGGGTGGGGGTTATTTATTATGGACTCCTGGAGATGGCAGACATGGGGAGGAGAGAATGTGCCCCATAAGCAATATTTACCATTCAAAGCTCCTCCCATGAATATTCTGCGAGTACCTCTTCAAAGTTCCATGTGGTGAGGCTGGCCCCAGGGGTCTGGGAGAGGGACACCAGAGCCCTCTGCTCCTAGAATGCTTTCTGGCCTTCTATTGACAGCGACCTCTCCTTCTGTCTTCCTGTCCCATCCTCTCTGCATCCTGCTGTGTCTGCCCAATCCTGTGAAGGGTCTCTTTGTCTGAACAAGGGGAGGATCTAGATCAGATGGCTCTTAGAGAGTGCTCCTGTCCTCTATTGGTGAAAGACTCTTTCTGAGAGCTAGGAAGGGTTAGCAGTGCTGGGCTGCAACTGAATGACTTTGTGTTAAGCCCTCATCTTTTCCTCCCCTCTTGTCCTGCCCTCTGCATTAACACCTCAGGGTGTGTGGAGATCCACCCCCACTGGAAGGGCCAGATGCCATCGTGCCTATCCTCAAGGAAGATGGATCCTACCTGCTCTGTGGATATTGGGCTGATGAGCCTGAAGCACCAGTCCAGGCCTGGGCTGGGGCCTGGCACTTTACAACCCAGCAGCCCATCTGCAGTGATGAGGACACTTTGGGTGAGTCCATTGATATGATTCTTGTTGCAGGTATGATAAACCTATGAGCATCCCAATGACCCTAGTTGCTTGCTCTAAGCCCCTGGGGAAAGGTGGTGATGTGGTAGGCTTTCCCCAGGGCTACATCTGGATGGACTAAGGCAGAACCCTGGGTGGAGTTTGCAGCATGGATGTAGTCTAGGCAGGTGTTTCTTGCCCCAGCCCTGTGCCATGACCCTGCCATTTCTCCCAGGAAATCTGTACTCCTGGCTACCTTCTCAGCCCAAGATCTTAACCAGATGCTCTTGAAGTGGGCTGTTCATTCTCTTGTTCCCATGGTGGAGACTGCACTTCCCCTCTGGAACACTTAACCATGTACTGGGGGTTCCATCCTGAGGTTGTCAATGCTGGCCCCGTGCATCTCGGGATCCACTAGGACCACAGTGTCTGTATGACACCAAAAGGCGCCTGTCTGTGGGAAGCTCTATGGGTTTCCCATGTTCATTTTATGGCAGGGGATAGTAACCAGGGAGTCCCCACATTGCCTGCAGGATCAGATGAGCCTCTAATTGTGCAGTTGAACACTGAGACACCTAAGAGAGCCAGGGGATTGAATGTGGCTGACCCCTGTGGGAGATCAGGATGCCCAATGAGTGAGTTGACACACTCTCAGACAGGGAGGGAGATTTCCATTGTTGGGCAGAGGACTTGTCAAAACATGCATGTCCTTATGGTTTGGTTCTGTTGTTAACCAAGATAGTACCACAACCAGACAGCATAGATATCCTTGGAATCTGGTGTGACAGTAGGCGGTACCTGTGCTTTAGCATGCCCTCACATTTGCTTATCATCTCATTTGCCGTGTCCTGCCCCATTTGCACATCTTTGCAGTGGAAGAGCCCTCATTTCAAGAGGAGGAAGGTGTGGTGGCACCTGCAGACCAGGCCGAGGCTAATCAGAGGTAAACCTAGAGATGGGTTGAGGGGGCTTTACTAGGGACCCCTAGAGATGGAAGACGTGGGAGAAGAGAAATTGCCCCACTCAAATCTCTTCCTACAAATGCTCTGGAGCACCTCTTGAAGGCTCCATGTGCTGAGGTGGACCCCAAATCCTGCCAGATGCCATCACTTATCCTCCTTTGGACACCTGCACAAATATTCCTGGGCCCAGTCTCCTGTTGAGGTCATTCCTCGTGCCACTGCTTCTGTGTGGCCTCTCTAAAAACTGAGGGCAACTCCCTCAGCCCCTCTGCTTTTCCTTCATTAGCAACCCTGCAATACGATGATAAAGACAGGGATGCACTGCACAGTTCTGACAGAAATGGGACCCATCCTGGGGTTGTCTGGGCTGTTGAAGTACTTTCCCTGGGTTGGAGCATTTCACATTAATGAGAATCTTTTCCCTGAAACTAGACAACTTGCTTCTGGCCGGCTTGTCCTTCATTGTCCTCAGGGGGCTGTGAGAGTGGGCACCAGCACTCTGTGCTCCTCCTTCAAGCCTTCTACTGACAGCTTCCTCTCCTCCTATCTTCCTGTCCCAGCCCCTCTGAATTCTAATGTGTCTGCCCTGTCCATGTGAAGGCTCATGTTGTCTGAACCAGAGGATGATTTAGATCAGATCGATCTTAGAGGATAATCCTGTCTCTTGGGTGACAACTCTTTCAGACTGCTAGGAGGGATTGGTGGGACTGGGTTGGAACTGAATGACCTTGTGTTAAGCCCTCATCTTTTCCACCCCTTCCAGCCTCTGCTCTGCATCACACCTCGGGGTGTGTGAAGATCCACCCCCACTGGAAGGGCCAGATGTCATTGTACCTATTCTCAAGGATGATGGATCCTACATGCTCTGTGCAGTTTGGATGGATGATCCTGAAGCGCCAGTCCAGGCCTGTGCTGGGGCCTGGCACCCTACAACCCAGCAGCCCATCTGCTGTGCTGAGGCCATTGTGGGTGAGTTCTTTGATGTGAAACTTGATGCAGGGCAGCCAAACCACAGGAGTACACCCATAAACCCTTGGCCTGCTTTCTGCAACACTCTGGAAAAGGTCTGAAATCTTAGGCTATCCACTAGACTTCATCGAGGTGGACTGAGGCAGAACCTTGTGTGGAGTTTGCAGCAACTGTTTAGTGTAGGCAGGTGTTTCTTAACCTCAGAGCCCAGGTTATTCTCCACTTTCTGGCACCAAAGCCAGCTGTGTCACTATGCCCAAGGCAGATGTTGTGGCATCGATCCACCATGAGCCTGTGCTCATGCATGCGACAAGGTATTTTTCTAAGGCTCCTCTTGGAAGAGTGGGATGCCTTTTGCCAGTGGCAGGCTTCTCTGTGAGACCTCTGCCCCAGCAATTTGCAAAGACAATGTCTGCCCACTAGGCCAGCTATACTTCTGGTCACCTTGCTGAACTGAGATCTTAATCACATCCCTTTGAACAGGGCCATACTGTCTCTCTTATTCCTACTGTGGTGATGTCATACCTCATCTGGAACCCTGGGCCATGTCCTGAGGGCTCCATCCTGTGGTAGCCAGTGCTGGCCTATTGCCTCTTGGGGTTCACTAAGGGACACAGTGTCTGCATAGCACCAAAAGTCTTAGTCATGTGAAGCTCTGAGGGTTTCACATATTCATATTGCAGCAGAGTGTGTGAGCCTGGGAGTTCCCACCATGGCTGTAGGATGGGATGAGCCTTCTCATTGTGTGGTTGGTCTCTTAGAACATATCTAACTTCATAGGACCAAGGGCCCATATGATTGAAAACAGCTGACCACTTGTGGAAGATCATGATGCCTGTTGATGTGTGATGAAACACTCCCAAGAAAGGGAGGGCTGCATTGTCAGGCAGAGGACTTGCCATTGCAGGCCTGCCCTCCTGGGAGTGAGGCAGTGGCTGACCAAGGTCATGTGACCACACCTTTCTTAGGAAGATGCTAGAATATGGTGTGGTACCTGTGCTTTACTAGGCCATCGCATTTGCATGGCATCTCATTTCACATGTCCTGCCTCATTTGCATTTCTTTGCAGTGAAAGATGCCACCTACCAAAAAGAGAAAGTCATGTTGGCAACTGCTGATTGGGCTGAGGCTACCTCCAGGTAAATCGACAGATGTGTTCAGGGTGTTTTAGTATGGACATGGGGAGATATCAGACGTGAGGTGAGAGAATGTGCCCTTTGTGTGATTTATATCATTCAGTTTTCCTCCCACAATGACTGGATGCACATCCTGAAAGCTTCATGTGCTGAGTTGCACTGTAACACTGTCCTGCTCACTGCCCATTTACCCTCAGTGGACCCCTATATAAATTTCCCTGGAAACCCGTCACCTGTCTAGGTCACTCCTAATGCCACTACTTCTGTGTGGCCTCTCTAAAAAGTGAGGGCCACTCCCTTGGTCCCTCTGCTTGTCCTTCATCAGCATCCCTGTGGTGCAATGGTGAGACAGGGAGTGTGCAGTGCCTGATGACACCACAGTGCTGATGGAAATGGGACCCATCCCGAGGCTGTCTGGAGTACTGAAGAGCTTTAGCTGGGTGGGAACATTGCACCCCAAGGGGATTCTTTCCCTGGAACTAGACAATTGGCTTCTGGCCAGCTTGTTCTTCTCTGTCCCAGGATGCTGTAAGAGGGCCCTCTGGCCTTGGGCTGACAGACTCCACTCCTATTTTCCTGTCTCACCTTCTCTGCATCCTGCTGGGTCTGCTCTGTCCCTGTGAGACTAATTTTGAATCAAGGGAAGATCCATTCTGATGGCTGTTAGTGGATGGTCCTGTCCCCATTGTGTGACAGACCTTAAGGACTGCTAGGAAGGTTTGTGGAACTGGGTTGGAACTCAATGATTTTGGTTTAAGCCCTCATCTTTCCCAATCCTCTCATCCTCCCCTCTGCTTTCACCCCTCAGGGTGTGTGGAGATCCACCCCCACTGGAAGGGCCAGATGTCATTGTGCCTATCCTCAAGGATGATGGATCCTACTTGCTCTGTGGATACTGGGCAGATGAGCCTGAAGCACCAGTCCAGGCCTGGGCTGGGGCTCTGCACCCTACAGCCCAGCAGCCCATCTGCTGTGCGGAGGCCATTGTGGGTGAGTCTTTTGGTGGGAATCTTGCTCTAGACCTGCCAAACCACCTGAGTGCACCCTAGTGACAGAGGCCTGCTTGCTCTATACCCCTGGGGAAAGGTGTGATGTGGCAGGAACTCTGCGCTACTTCTGGGTGGACTAAGCAGAGCCCTGGGTGGAGTTTGCAGCAGGGATGTAGTGTAGGCAGGTATTTCATAACCTCAGAGCCCCAGGTTATGCTCCGTTTTCTGACAAGCAAGCCGACCATGTTGCTGCATAAGAGGCAAGTGTGATGGCAGGGCCCCAGCCTGTGCTCCTGCATGTGTCAAGGATTTCTTCTAGCCTACACATGGAAGAGTGGGGCACCTTTGGCCTTGCCCTAGATGCCATTACACTGCATGCCTGCCACCACAGCTCTACTCAGGTTACCTTCTCAGCCTGATATCTTTCTCAGATCCCGATGAACTGGGCATGCTGTCTCTCTCATTCCAATTGTATTGATGTCACTCTTCATCTAGAACCCTGAGCCATGTCCTGAGGGTTCCATGCTGAGGTTGCCAGTGCTGGCCTCATGCCTCTCAGGATCCACTAAGGGCCACTGTGTGAATGACACCAAAAGGCTCCTGTGTGTGTGAAGCTCTGTGGGTTTCATATGTTCATACTGTGGCAGGGTGTACATGCCCAGGAGTCCCCCACCAATGACTGCTGTGGGGATGAGCCCCCTTTTGTGACACATCAGACATAGACCAAGGAGCCACATGGTGAAAGCGGCTGGCCCCTCATGGAAGATCAGATGCCTGATCTGTGGCTATCACACTCCAGACAGGCAGGGAGCTCTCCATTGGTAGGCAGAGGACTTGCCATTGTAGGCATGTTCCCTGGGAGTGAGGCTGTTGCTAACACCTGTTCACTAAGTGAGCAGCATAGGTGTCCTCAGAAGCTGGTGGGGCATTTGTGATACCTGGGCTTTACTATGAGAATGTGTTTGCATGCCATCTCATTGACCATGTCCTGCCCCATTTGCCCTCCTTGCAGTGGAAGATGCCTCCAGCCAGAAGGAGAAAATAGAGGTGGCATCTGCAGAGCAGACTGAGGCCACACCCAGGTAAATCTGCAGATGGGGTCTTTCTTTCTTTCTTTCTTTCTTTCTTTCTTTCTTTCTTTCTTTCTTTCTTTTTTTTTGTGTGAATATCTGGAGATTTGTGACACGGTGGGAGACAATGTGCAACTGGAGTCCATTTATAGCATTCAAAGTTCCTCCCAAGTAGACTCTGTCTAAGGAGGGCCCCAAACACTTTCCACGTCAGCCCCATGTCCAGCCTCCATTGGACAGCTGCAGAAGTTTCCCTGGGAAAGTCACCAGGCCAGGTCATTCCTAATGCCACTGACTCTCTGTGGCCCATTGAGAGAATGACCACTCGCTCAGCCTACTGGTTGTCTCTCATCAGCCCCCCCACCCCGCAGTACAATGGTAGATACAGGGAATGTCCACTGCACCCATGCACTCCTTAGTGCTGAGGGAATGGGGACCATCCTGAGGTGCTCTGTGGTGTTAATGGGCTTTAGGAGGGTGTGAGAATTCCACCAAAGGGAACTCTTTCACTGAAACTAGACAACTGGCTTCTGGCAATCTTGTCCTTTTCTGTCCCCCCTGGGGAAGGGGGGTGAGTGTTGGAGAGGGGCGGCGAGCCCTGTGCTCCTCAGTGAGACTTCTGGCCTTCTACTGACAGCCTCCTTGTCTCCTGTCTTGCTGTCCAGTTTCTCTACATCCTGCTGGGTCTGCCCTATCTGTGTGAAGGGTCACTGTGTCTGAAGCAGGGAGGATCTAGATCAGAGGCTTTTAGAGGGTGATCCTGTCCCTATTGGGTGAAAGATGCTTTCAAAATGCTAGGCAGGTTTGGTGTGACTGGGTTGGAACTGAAAGAATTTGTGTTAAGCCCTCATCTTTTCCTCTCCTCCTGTCCCCTCCTCTGCATTCACACCTCAGGGTGGGTGAAGATCCACCCCCACTGGAAGGGCCAGATGTCATCGTGCCTATCCTCAAGGATGACGGGTCCTACATGCTCTGTGCATATTGGGCAGATGAGCCTGAAGCCCCAGTCCAGGCCTGGGCTGGGGCCCTGCACCCTGCAGCCCAGCAGCCCATCTGCTGTGCTGAGGCCATTCTCGGTGAGTCCTTTGATGTGACTCTAGCTGCAGACCTGATAAACCTCCTGAGTGCACTCCTATAACCCTGGCCTGGTGCTCTGACTCCACTCATCTTCTGGAATCCTAGGGAATGTACTGAGGATTCCATCCCGTGGTTGCCTGTGCTGGCTCGTGCCTCTCAGGATCTACTAAGAACCACAGTGTCAGCATGGCACCAAAAGGCTCCTGTGTGTGTGGAGCCCTGAGGGTTCACATGTTCATATTTTGGCACGGTGGAGGAGTCTGGGAGTCCCTCACCATGGCTTAGGATTGGATGAGCCCCCACTGTGTGATTGGTCACTTAAAACACATCTGGGTGTCAGCGCCGTGGTGCAGTAGGTTAATCCTCTGCCTGCGGTGCCAGTACCCCATATGGGCACCTGTTCTAGTCCTGGCTGCTCCACTTCCAGTATAGCTCTCTGCTATGGCCTGGGATAGCAATATAAGATTGCCCAAGTCCTTGGGCCCCTGCACCCGCATGGGAGAACAGGAAGAAGTGCCTGGCTCCTGGCTTCAGATTGGCGCAGCTCTGGCTGTTGTGGCCATCTGGGGAGTGAACCAATGTAAGGAAGACCTTTCTCTCTGTCTCTCCCTCTCACTGTCTGTAACCCTAACTCAATTAAAATAAATAAAATCTTTAAAAAAGTAACACACACCTGGAACTTACAACATATAGCCATGGGATTGAGAGCAGCTGATCACTTTTGGAATATCAGGATGCCAAATGAGTGAGAGGGCACATGCCCAGCAGGGAGGGAGATTTCCACTATTGGGCAGAGGACCTGTCTAAACAGGCATGTCCTCCTGTTTGGGAGCTGTTGCTAAGCAAGGTAGTGCCACAGCTGGACAACATAGATATCCCTGTATGACTGTGGGTGGTACCTGAGCTTTAATATACCATCGCTTTTGTTCATCATCTCATTTACCATGTCCTGCCCCATTTGCACATCTTTGCAGTGGAAGAGCCCTCATCACAAGAGGAGGAAGGGAAGGTGGCACGTGCAGACCAGGCCGAGGCTAATCAGAGGTAAATCTACAGATGGGTGAGGGTGTTTTACTCTGGACATCTGGCATGGCAGACACGGGAGGAGAGAAAGGGACCCATGAGCCATTTTTTCCCATTCAAATCTCATCCTACAGACTGTGGACCATGTCTTGAAAGCCCCATGTGCTGAGGCAGGTCACAAACACTGTGCAGGTCACCAACTACATATCCTCTTTGGAACCTACATAAGTTTTCCTGGGGTCCAGTCATGCCGAGGTCATTCCTCATGCCACACTTTTATGTCACCTCCATAAAAAGTGTTTGGCAGCTCCCTCAGCCCCTCTGCTTGTGCTTCATCCACATCCCTGCAGTACAACAATAAAGACAGGGATGTCCAATGCACCAATGCTCTCCACAGTGCTTAGTGAAATGGGATCAATGCCAAGGGCATCTTGGTTGTTAAACTGCTTTCATTGGTTGGAAGCATTCCAGACCAAGGGGATTCTTCTCCCTGAAACTAAACAGGCTTCTGCTCAGCTTGTCCTTTCCTGTCCCAGGGGGCTGGGAGAGGGACACAGAACCCTCTGATCCTCAGCGCCTTCTGCCCTTCGGCTGCCATCCTTCTCTCCTCTGTCTTCCCGTCCCATCCTTCTCTGCATCCTGCTGGGTCTTAGCTATCTGTGTGAAGGCTCACTTTGTCTGCACCAGGGGAGGATCTAGATCAGATGGCTCATAGAGATTGATCCTTTCCCTGTTGGCTGACAGACCCTTTCAGACTGCTAGGAAGGTTTGGTGGAACTGGGTTGGAACTGAATGACTTTGTGCTAAGCCCTCATCTTTTCTACCTCTTCCGTCCTCCCCTCTGCATTCACACCTCAGGGTGTGTGGAGATCCACCCCCACTGGAAGGGCCAGATGTCATTGTGCCTATCCTCAAGGATGATGGATCCTACCTGCTCTGTGGATACTGGGCAGATGAGCCTGAAGCACCAGCCCAGGTCTGGGCTGAGGCCTGGCATGCAAAAACTCAGCAGCCCATCTGCTGTGCTGAGGCTTTTTGGGTGAGTCCTTAGATGTGAATCTTGCTGCAGACCTGTCAAAGTGCCCGAGTGGACTCCTATGATGCAGGCCTGCTTGCTGTTACTCCCCAGGGAAAGGTGGTGATGTGGCAGGCTGTCCCCTGGGCTATATCTGGATGGACAGAGGCAGAACCCATGGTGGAGTTTGCAGCACAGTTGTAGTGTGGCTGGTGTGTCTTGGCCTCATAGTCCCAGGTTATGCCCCCCTTTCTGACACTGACACTTGTTGTGCCTGAAGCACGTGATGGGGCATGGCCCCAGCTTTTGTTACTAAACTTTTGTTGCTGAACAAATTATTTCCTCTTAAGTATTTATATCTCATTTGAGGGTTTTGGGAAAAAAAATCTGTATTCTTTCTGTTGGACTATTAAGTCAAATGGTTTTCAGAATGTCTGACTTAGAATTGTTTTGTAGGTTCTAGGTTTTCTTAGTAACTCATGCGCTGCAGATGAGCTGAGTTTGGTCCTAGTCTCTGTCACTGCTGAGCAGTCCCTCCAGACTCAGCTTGCAGCAGGCCCTGACCAAGACTCTCATTTGATTTCTTTCTGTCTCCCTCTCAGGTGCTAAGAACTTCCTCTGGTGGATACCATGAAACCTGACTCTGTTCATTCCAGTACCCCATTTATATTAAAGTTTGGTTTTGTTAATTATTTGGGTTGAATATTTTGCTCCATAATCTTTTAAACCTCACAAATACATGGATTAGTATAACACTGGAACCTGGAATTCTAGGTGTCTTCTGATAACTGTAGTCAAGATTGCTCCTATGCCACAGGACGTGTCTACATGCATCAAGTCTAGTGAAAAAAGCCAGACATAGTCCAATACCATGTGAGTACAGGTTAAAGCAGACCTGCTAGGAGTGCACAGTAAGGAGGCAGTTCTAAGGTGAATGCAAGAATGCATATACTCAAGATGAGCATGAGAATCTCTCAAGACAGTGAGGGAGTGTCATTAGAAAGGCGTGTGGGACTCTTCTGGAACTTCTGGAATCTTAGTGGGGATATTCACTTTCTTTTTTTTTTTTTTTTTTTTGACAGGCAGAGTGGACAGTGAGAGAGAGAGACAGAGAGAGAAAGGTCTTCCTTTGCCGTTGGTTCACCCTCCAATGGCCGCCGCTGCAGCCGGCGCACCGCGCTGATCCGATGGCAGGAGCCAGGATCCAGGTGCTTTTCCTGGTCTCCCATGGGGTGCAGGGCCCAAGCACCTGGGCCATCCTCCACTGCACTCCCTGGCCATAGCAGAGAGCTGGCCTGGAAGAGGGGCAACCGGGACAGAATCCGGCGCCCCAACCGGGACTAGAACCCGGTGTGCCGGCGCCGCCACTTTCAACAACATATTAATGTGTCCCCTTGAATTTCATGGGTCTTTCTCCATACTGGTTTACAAAACAAAGGAAAATGATCGGGCCGGCACCATGGCTCAATAGGCTAATCCTCCACCTAGCAGCACCGGCACACTGGGTTCTAGTCCCGGTTGGGGCACCAGATTCTGTCCCAGTTGCTCCTCTTCCAGGCCAGCTCTCTGCTGTGGCCAGGGAGTGCAGTAGAGGATGGCCCAAGTGCTTGTGCCCTGCACCCCATGGGAGACCAGGAGAAGCACTTGGCTCCTGCCTTCAGATCAGTGCAGTGTGTCAGTCGCAGCATGCCAGCTGTGGCAGCCTTTGGAGGGTAAACCAATGGCAAAAAGGAAGACCTTTCTCTCTGTCTCTCTCTCTCACTGTCCACTCTGCCTGTCCAAAAAAAAAAAATGATCATTTCCTGTCAGCACATCATCACAGGAAGCACACAGGGAACTATGAAATTTCGCTGTTTCTCTTCTGCACAGTGCAGTGAGCCTTGGGCCCCTTGCTGCCTGACTGTTGAGCAAAGGGTAGGAGGTGGCCCACATCCCAGTCAGGCCCCAGTGATGGTGTACAACTGGTGGAAGCCTCCCTCCAAGGGGAGTGTTGGCAACTGTAGAACCAAACTTATGTCCCTGGACTGACTCAGTGTCTCTGAGAAGCTGAGAAAGAGACAAAGAGAAACAGAGAGAGAGAGAGAGAGAGAGAGAGGGAGAGAGAGAGAAAGAGAGAGATATCTTCCATCCACTGGTATGCCCGTGACAAGTGCAATGCTACGACCACCAGGCAATAGGCCGGTGGACCCGTTAAATAGAAGAAGAGACAGAAACCCTGGAAAGGAAAGGACCCAACAACTGGAGCCGCTGCCTGCTGCCTCCAAGTGTGTGTTAGCAGAAATCTACACCTGGACGTGGAGCCGGGACTTGAACTCAGGCACTCTGATACAGGATGTTGCTGTCTCAAGGGGTGTAGTCCCTGCTGTGTCAAACAGCAGAAGTTAACCAGGGGAATCCTGGAAAGGGAAAGGCAGAGATGACCAGTAAGGTTCTTAAAAAGATATTACATCTTGGGCCAGGAACTCCGTCTGCCTCATGAGCGTCTGAGCCACTGTGGCTCAGGGTCTGTATTTCTTATGACAGAGACAGCTGAGAAACCATAGAATGGTTCCTGAGCACTCTCAAGGGAGGAAAGTGAGAACATTTCAGGATGTGCATCCTTCCCTTGCCAGGTGGAACAAATTAGGAGCTCATAACATGGAGCCGAATCTTTAGTGCAGAGGTTAAGATGCCCGTGTCCCACCTTAGAGTTCACCTGGGTTCACTTTGCAACCGTGCTCCTATGAACCCTGTAATGCAGACCCTGGGAGGCAGCAGATGTCTCAAGTAATTATTGGATTCCTGTCACACACAGGATGGAGTTGGCTGGGGACCCCACCTCCTGGCTTTGGCCCCAACCAGGGACTACTTTGAACATTTGTGGGAGGAATCGGTGGATGAGAGGTCTGTCTTGTTCCTCTGTCTCTCTCTCTGCCTCTCTAGTGTATGCAAAAGGGGATTTTTAAAAAACACCTGGTACACCCGATGGCTGTGTGGCCATTTCATGTTGTTGTTTGGGCAATGCTGGGAAGCATGTGCCAGAGATCAGCCCCCTTTGTACAATGAGAAGCAGTTATGTCTGCTTCTCTTCAAAGTCCCAAAGCATTCAGTAATCACAGAGAAAGGGGCCAGGACCTCCATTTGGGTCTCTCACTTGGGTGGCCCTAACTGGCTCATTAAGAGGAAGCTGGATTGGAATTAAAGTAGTCAGGACTGGAACCTGTGCTCCACAAGGGATGCCAATGTTGCAAGTAGTGGCTTAGCTGCCTATGCCACAATGCTCGCACCCATAAAAGGCATTTTTGAGACAACTGCAAAGCCTAGAAGTGTCCTGAGGCTCCAGTAGTAGTAACATGTTCCCAATTGCCTGACTTCAGTCATTACCATTTGTATATACCAGAGACTGTCCCTGCTTTGGGAAATACACACTGATACACTTGGTGAGAACCCATGGAGTGTCAATGTACTCTGAAATGCCTTGGGAAAGATTGTTGGGAGTAAAAATTTTCTATATATCTTAATTAAAAATACAAAAACAATTTATATCATTGGAAAAAGAATGAAAACAAAAAATAGTTTCTACTAATAAAATACTAATAGATGTTCAATAAATCAAAAAAGGAACATTTAAGACATATTTCAAAAATAATGAAAATACTTTTATAATTATTTGTTTCAACAAGTATAAGAAAATCAATTGGTAAATACATCATAAATATATCATCACACTGATGGTTATAGACTGGTACAAAATATATTTCATATGGAAGTCATGAATATTTTAGATTCAAAATTCTGGACAGAATTAGGAAATCAGAAATTTAAGCAGTCTGAATCAATTGTAATTCTCAAGAGGAGGCTGGAAATACATGATTTAAATCTTGCTATGTATATACATTAAATTTATTGTAAATATAACAAAAATGAAAAAAAACACCTGTGGATCTTTCCGATGCAACAGATATATATTAAGCTGAAGCTCACCAGTGGATTGCAAGATTTTAATGAATACCCAAGAAAAAGTCTAAAATATATGTACTATTATATCTGCATTTTGGTATAACAGTGTCCAATAATTTATGAAATTTCAAAGGAATCCATTGCAGTTCCCTTAGTACAAACTGCTACCACACTAAGCTGTATAAGCGTCACTATTGATTGATGCTTCCTCTTCCACTATCATTTAACTTTTTGAAAATTTTATTTAGTTGAGAGAGTGTGTAGGAGAGAGAGAGCATGCACATGTGATTTTATCTGATGGTTTACGATTTAAATGCCTGCGATGTTCAGGCCTCAGCCAGGACTGTAGTCTGGAGCCAGGATCTCAATCCAAGTACCTCTTTGGCTAATGGCCATTATTGTGTAACCCTGTGTAGAAAGAGCCTTGTGGGATGCTGCTGTTCTGCTAGGTCACCTGTGCTGCTGGTGCTGCTCCTGGCTGAATAAAGACTCTGCATCTGCTTACAGCTCTGGGAGTGTTCTTTCAGAATCTGGCCCAGAGTGCCTCAGCATCCCTGATGACTGTGCATGGGTTTGACATCTCTCACAGTCCACAGTATTTGGGTTTCCTGCCAGGGAACATGTGGCCTCTTATAGGACCATAATACCTTGTGGCAGAGGTCCTAATGTCTTGGACTCCTCTTCAGGAGTGGAAACAGGTAAAATGGGCTTTGCATGTCCTGGAAGTCATAATTCTGGAAGGAGATCAGACCAGTGCTGTGTGGACAGGATGGATGTCGCTCACCATGTTAGGGTGGCAGCATGAAGGCTTCCTCACTGTGTTAAGGTGTCAGTGTAAAAACACCCATATCAGTGATGCCCAGGTAAAGGAGCTATGTGCTGGGGAGAGCAGCTGAATATCTGGGCACAGGCTTTGGAGCAGGACTGGCTGTGTCTGTAGAGGGCAGAGTATGAATGGGAAGTGAGCAGCCCAGTGAGGAAGAACCCAGTGAAGAGCTGGGCCCCTGCCACCTCTGCATGCCCACCATGGGAGAAAGTGTCAGCTGGAGCTCAACCAGCATATAGCCTCAGGACATGGGCCACAAAACCTCCCTCAGGAAGTGAATTTGCTAATACTGCTTACCCCCAACCAAGCAGAGGGAGTTGGGGACGCAAGCAGACAGAGGCCAGGAGAACCAAGGAAAGTAGGGCTTTGTGCTTGTGGAGTGATGGAGTTGATAGCCTCCAGTTGTCCCATTAGAAATGAAGAAATTAACTTCCATTACATTTCACCCATTACTATGACAATGTCTGCAAATCAGCCATTGCCTTGGAGACTTTCAAGGGGATCATTCCCTGATGGAGTGCTTAAGGGCTACTGTGTGAGTAAATGGACCATGCATGTGGACTTGGCTCACGTTATTAGATAAATGCCCATGTGGCAGGGTATGTTTAATGTGAATACTAGGGGCACTGGTGTTGAGCACTTAACCACTCAAATGAAAAATTTGGCCTCTTTACCTCCTCCTGCCTTTGGGTCTCTGCAGCCATAATAACCACCTATATTGACTGCCATGTTTGTGAGGTGACCGATGTTATGGAAAGATGTAGATGATGTAGAGATAAAGCAGCAGGATCACAGGGTGGTACAACTGCTAGGAAAAAAGTAAAGGCAAACAAATGAAAATTCTGCCTCGGGGAGAGGGACAAACAAGAAAATGGGTCATTAAAATGTCCCAGATATAAATTTGGATCGATCTGCCAATGGCAG